GGAAGAGTAGACCTGCAGAAGAGAGGATGCAAGCTTAATACTACTGCTTTCTTAGTGTTCTTAATACTACTGTTTTTTTCTTATTTGTTGTTTAGACTGCCGTATTCCTCCAGCACAAGCATGTCTATGTGATATATGGTCAGTTTGTATGTGCAAGAAACCTTAACAGGCCTGCATGCTGTTTTTCACAGTATGTGCTGTGCAGGTACAGCGCTTCAAAACCCCCTACCCCCTCTGTGCTCTGTAGTGGATCTGCTTATGTGTTCCAGCTGGTTGCGTGGGATTTCCAGACATCCAGTGACTGAAGAAAGAAGGCATGCCTAACTAGGTTTCTCCACTATGGTACTGCTAATTGCCACCACTTGGAAAGATACTGCACCAGCATTTGTGCTTGTAAACCTGCTATTTAAGAGACTCTGGTCTTTATCCCTCCTTGGAAAGAGGAGGAAAACATTCCTGAGCATTGTCTGAGGCATTTAGAGCTGCATAATAATAATGATGTGCAACACGTTAAGTACTGGTTTGTCTTGTGTATGTGGGTAAAAGTTGGTGTTTACTACCCTTTATCTTATGTATTCACTGGAAATAAATTGTATGGTATTTTAGATGACTTGCACAACTTCATGGTTTCACAGAACTAACCATATTATGCAAGTGAACTTAAAGGGGTGTTGGATTTCATGCATCAGGATGCAAAATATCCATGATAGCTTACTGTGTGTGAGGGCTGTGGGGATTTTTTTTCACGTTCTGCCCTCCTTTTCCCCTTCAGTGTAGGATGTTTTGCAGTGGAGCTGCAGTATCAGAAGGGTGATGGTTAACTTCAAAGATACCGTGTTGCCTGCAACCAGAGACAGATTCTGGACCAACAGGCTGTAGCTCGAGTCAGACCTTAGAAAAAAGAAAAAAAAAACAAAACCAAAAAAACTACCCATGCATGCAGAGTGTCCCACACACCTGGAAACTCACTATTTATGAGAGGAAGGGATTGAAGCGGCAATGTCATCTTGGGTTCCTATCTAGGTCTTGGATCTTACACAGAGAAGATGTTGCCATTCAGCTGGTTGGCAGTGTGTTGCTTCCTTAAGAGACAATGTTTTCTGAATGTTTTTCTAGTGGCATTTTAATTTTCAAAGTTAGATACTGTATGGTGTGCGGTCTCTGAAAGGCTGCAGTGTCCCATGTATTGATCTACTGACTTAGTATTAGAAGAGTTGTTGTCTTAAAAATAATTTAAAAAAAGTAATAACAGATGCATGACTTGAAGGAATTGCTAAAGCAAGGAAGATCTCATTCTAACTCTGTAACTTCTAGTACAAGAACTTTCCATACTGTTATGATTATTTAAACTATATTCTGAAGTTCTCTCCAGTTCCATCTTTCATCTCACTTCCACTCTCTCATGCCAGTTGGAAATGTAGGTAACGTTACAGTCTATCCTGAATACTCTGAAGTCATGGAATTGGTGTTCAGTCATTTAGTGTAGTAACTTACTTGGTTTCTGTTGTCTGTTACAATTCATGGACCTTTTTTTCCTTTTAATGCAAATGGCATTGCCTTTTCAACAGCATGTTTTTTCCCTTCTGGATCAAATTTGTTAGCAATTTTATGCATCCTAAGACAAGTGAAGAGGAGAACCTTGTGTTCTGTAATGTTTTCATAGACTCAAGCAAACCTTCTAAGGCCCTATTTGTTGTTCATTTTAAGTATGTTAGTTGTGGATGTAAAAGTATAATCATAAAGTGTTATGGCATTGGCCATTTGAGAATGAAGTTACATCTTACTGTCAAGGATTTTTAGCGTGCTATGTGCATTTAAAAATTTGTGTTTTATGTATAACAGCCATGTGTTCTCCCTGCGCCACGCACCTGTGTTCTGAAACAATTAAAAACTGCTTTATTTTTGGTTATGACTTCAGTTTTGTCCTGGGAGTACTGCCAAGGATTTGGTAGGGATCTCACAAATGACCTGCTTCGCCTACACAGGCTAAGCAGGACTTCACTTGTGAAAGTTGTCTTAACTGTGTCGTGCTCTTTTTGTTGTTGATATAAATTAGTCTGAGTTCTTCCCTGTTTCCCTCCCCAACTATATCTTGTATTGGTTAGCACCTTGGGTTTTGATTTAATCGTCTTGGCGCCATGGGGAGTTTCGTGTGGTCTGAGCTGAATGGCAAACATCAAGGTTTCTTCAGACTGTCTAAACCAGGGTTTCAAGTGGCTTAAGCTCTGTTTGCCTGCTTCGCTACCGGCTTCTCTGTGGCTAACAGCTTGTGTGGAGTGGTTGTAGGACATCCATTTAGAAACACTGTTAAAACCATTATGTTCTTCTTGAAATCAAGGCTAAGGTTTGGAGATGAGAAGCAAGAGGACTTAATATGGCAGGAAGGAGACTCAAAGGATTTTCCCAGGCAGTCATCAACTCATTGAAGTGATAACTGCTTGAGGCCCTGTCTCTTCTTGCTCTGCCTGTCATGTGGCCAGCAGCTTGTCTGAGGACACACCAGGGAATTCCTCTTTATCCTGCTGGTCGTTCAGCCCTTTAAGAACACAGAAATTAACCTTTACCAGATGCCCCAAATGTCCTTGAAACCTTTTTGAATAACCAAGTAGTCATGCTCTGGCATGCTTATGGCTTTAAATGATTGAAGTGAAAAGCAGATGACTTCAATTTTTGGTCTTAATACTGAAATAGTTCTTAAAAGGTGTAGCAGGTAGATGGCTTTAGCACTAAATAGCTCACTATGTAGCCAATCCTTTAGGGAAGGATTGTAGGGAAGGGGACTGTATCCAGCAGGGTGTTTTAGGGTTAGAGTAATACAAGGTATTCCCCTAGACTGGGGAGTTTACCTTTTTTTGCTAGCGAATGACCACTAAGGTTATGGGAATAAAAGATGAACGTACTGGTACTGACTGGAACTCTGTGCTCAGCCAACATCCTGCAGGTTTTCTGGTAAGGAGTGGGAAGCACATCCTTTCAACTTTAGCTTGTAAAGTAATACTTATTTTACACCCACTGTGGTGTTTCAGCCAGAAGTACAAACAACTTGCACAATACAAAACTGCGGATTACGAGCATATGTTTTGTTGCAGGGGGTAGAAGGGGATTAGAATATGATTAGGGATTTATTGTTGAGAGGGATTAAGCAGCAGGAGCTTTTTAAGGTCACATCTTCAAATTGCAGTCTTGCTGTTCCTAATAATGTGGTGTCTGAACTTCCCCTCCCTTCCTACACTGGAAGCAGGGTTTGGGAAACCTTTGGTTCCTAAGGCACAGGAAGAAAGCCTTAAGCGTACTTCTGTTATGGACCCCAAATGCTACAGCTGGGAAAAGGAGCTCTTAGAAAACCTTTCTTGCTTGTTCTTTCTTCTTACTTTTAGAGGACTCTTTTGTTTTGTTTTGTTTTGTTTTTTTTTAGTTCTAATTTAAAGGACACTGCTTTATAAGTGCAGCTTGAAAGTGACAAGGCCACCTAAACAGTCACGTTCTCTGGTTCAGTGCTGGGGTTCCATGTCTTGGAAACTGCCTTCAGTCTTTCTATAGGAGGGACAGCTGTTATATGGGAGAGAGCAGGAAAAAGAAACATCTCTATAAAGGTTAGAAGGCACTTGATGCCTTCATGTCTTACCAAAAAGAATGCAAAATTTCCTAATGTGTTTCACAAACCTAATGGAGGCAACTTGTTTTATTCACAGTTCTGTGTTACCTGCAACATTGTTTTACCTGATATGTGGCCTAGATTTTAAATATACATAATTAAGTGTCTGGAAACTGTTGCAAGGTCAAAGTTTTGTAGTGGGTGATTCTGTTTCTTTTCTGCCCCTTCCTCTGGTTTCTTCCAATGTGTGCCTCTGTGCTTGGAACCAGTGCTGCAGCTGTAGCAGGCTCTCCTGGTCTGTGAACTCGGGCTTTCTGTAATGTGACATTTATTAAATGTTGGGAAAATGTTGTGTGTCTGTGTGTAGCTTACCTGTTGTCTGGCCTTCTATTTACATGACCACTTTTTCTTCTTTTTCCTTTAAAATACCAAGCTACAAATCTAACTTGTTAGTAGAACTATACTACCCAATCATAGGGGTTGGTTTGTTTTTTGGTTTTTGGTTTTGTTTTTGTTTTTTTTTTAAATTTGCTTTGGGGTGGTTGTCTTTTTGAGGCATAGTGTAATATCGCAAGCAATACAGTCTCCTGTAGCTGGAGCAGTTGGAGATAATCCTTTCCTGATTTGCTGTTCTGGCAGCCCTTATGTTATTCCCTGCAAGCTTAGTTGCTGCTTTTGCCTCCTGATTAACTGCTGCTGATAGACTTTTTCTAGTCATTGCCTTCTGCATACAATAGTAACCTCTGTCTTGCAGCCTACTGCTGCCATTGCGGTAAATCTGGTTATGTTGTTTCTTCACTAACAGCAATCGCTTAGTGAACTCTTGCCCTGTATTATCATTCTGTACCCATATTTGTACCATTTATGTGCTGAGTAGATTTTTATGAGGGAATGAACGTTTATCGGGTTAATGCTGATTGCTTCATAAGAATAATCTACAGCCTTTTGCCTTTAAAACCTCAGATTAATTCCAGCTCTAATATAAATGGAAGTTAAATTATAAGTCTTAAATTTAATTTAGTCATTAGGGCCTTTCGTAATCCAAGGGATGGCCTGCAGGCAGCTGTGCTGTGGACTCACAGGAGCTCTTATTCCAAGGGGGTTTAGGCCTGGAAACAGTCAACTCTAGAATGCCCTCTTGTTAAACCAGAGGCTCGGTCCAATCCTGTGTTGAGTAGGAAAACCTGCAGAGCAACCTGCATAAGACAGCAAAGTCAGCATCCCAATTAAGTTTTCTGGTATGATAATACGAATCTAAGTGGGGCTTAAGTGTGTATATTATAGAGGTTACGGTAGTGCATCAAAGTGTGGAGACTGAGTTGTACACAAAGTACTGTGTTAACACTGAGAAATCGTTTTAAATACATCTCAAACAATGCTTTTTGTTTTTTCTCCTTAGATCAATGTTCGAGTTGTTACTATGGATGCAGAGCTGGAGTTTGCCATCCAGCCAAACACTACAGGCAAACAGCTGTTTGACCAGGTCAGTGAAGGGTTGGTATGGGCTCTTGTTTTTTAAGCTTGGAGTACAGTTCAGACTATAGTGTTTTCTTAAGACTGCATTCCAAACCTACCTACCTTTCTTCTCTCTACTTCCTAATCAAAGGGCCCTATTCTGAACTAAGATCTCTAAATTCCATCACAATAAAAGAAAAAAGCAAAAATCCTTGTAGGTACGTTATGTTCCAGTGAAACCTGACTTCCTAGCAGTGTTGGGTGATGAAGTGTCATAGGGGATCTAAAATGTCTAGACAGCATAGGTAGTGTGTAAAAACTCACCTCTTGCTTTGAAATACAGTTTAGCCCTTATTTATTTATTAAATTCTGAAGTTGAAGTGTTGTCCCTGTGCAAAAAACTTCAGAATCAGGTCTTCAGATCGCTGACAAAGGCATAGGCATAGCTGCATTAATTCAGAAGCTGTGTTGAAGGTCGTCCCTTGCTACAGATATTTGAGTTTGCCAAGCTACTGGAAAACCAGATGGGTCTGTGATCTCCATGCAGCAACTACAGCAACATGCCTTGTAAGAAGCCCTTGTGCAGCAAGATGGAGCAGAGACTTGTCCAGCCTGCCTCTGGCGGTTCCCAGGGAAGTGGAGGGCATGAGTAGCCAAGACTACTATTCTTCCTGCTGCTGCATTAACAATATACGGATCTGTTTTGAGATGGACCTGCAAATGTCAGATAAAGACAGCTAAAATAAACAAAGAGCACTTTGTAAAACTTTATGATTTTTTTTTCTTAAATAGCTTGCTCTTATACAACTGAAGCAAGGCCTAGATTTCAGCAGAAAAATTTAATTTGCTTTTCTGGAATTTAAAAAAAAAAAAAAAAAGCAGCTTGCTTCTAGCTATTCCTGTTGGAACCCTGAAAACTAAGAATTGATCTATGTAGATTTCAATTACGTGTATTAAGCTGTTTATGAGGTATTACAGCAATTCCTTTGCATTTCTCCCCTTGTCCCCTGCTAGCCTTGATAGCAAAGGGTGGTTGAGCTTTAACTCATGTAGACAGAACTGGCTGAACAATGTCCATTCCTTTTAAGTTTTTTCTGGTACAAGTTCTCGTTTCAGTGAGTTAGCTAGAACGTGCCAGGCCTTATGGCAACTGTGCAGTGAGAAGTACTCTTCCAAAAAGCCAACCAACCAAAAAAACCTCACAAAAGCCCAAACCCCCAACAAACAGGAAAAAAAAAAACATTTAGTGGGTTCTTGACAAAAGTGAAAGGAGGAAACCAAATTATAATCACTGCAGAACTTCACAGTACAAAATAGAGTACTACAAATTGTGTGTAGCATTAAATCTAACTTTAATTCCTTTTTGATTATTACTGATGTGGGATAAATATCAAGTATTCATTGACTGGAAATTTGGTGAAGTGTATATGAAATATTTATGGAACCAGTATTTGACCTTCCATCCACTGCTAACTACCCTTGCATCAGGGTAATTTCCTCCTCCAGCCCCTTTCATGTTAACCCAAAACAGAATTCATTTTTCATCTCTGTGGGTACAAAAATGATTAAAAGCCAGGTTTTTAAAAGCAGTGCCTTAGATCAGTTAGTGTACATGTGTCCTATGTTCTTTATGACAAGGATTCAATAAGGACTTTTACCCCATGAATTCACTAATGTTTACATCTGTTAAGAGTCAGAGTCATCTCTCTGGCAGAAGAGAAACTGCTTTCTTGACCTCCAGCTGAGAAGCACAAAATCCTGAGAACATGGAAAAAGGCAGGATGCTTCAGATCCAAGATACTTCTAGCTTGCTGTCTAGGTGGTTCCGGACTTCTGAAGACTGCTTGTTGCAGCAGTTATTGTACTTTTGGGACAGAATATCACCTCATGAAGATTTTCTCCTTACATCCTATGGCTGGGGTTTAAAACCTGTGATTGGCAATTCTTGTCTGTGGTCCGTAGCTTGTTGGAGTGCACTTCTGCACATCAAGAGAAGACTAAGGCAGAAGTGTGCAGCAGAAAACCAGGGAAGGTGAAGACCATCTGTTTAGTTGCAACTGTTCTGACATCTTCGCATCTGCTGTGCAAGCCTTGTACTAGGCTCTTATCTCAAATGGAGTTTGCACTTAGATAAAGCCTGTGGAGGCAACAGGTTTTTGTAGGTGTGGGGAGTGACCCCACTTGAACCACTGTGGGGGGGAAAAGGGTGTTGAAGAAAGCAGGCTATTTTTAAAAACCACCAGATGATTTCTTGGCCTGCTGTCAGCTAGGAAAACTACTCCGGGAATGCCCTTGTGCTTTAGGCTTTGCTAGCATAAGTCTATCCTGCATGTAAAGTGGACTATAACTCCCTTTTATAGAAAGGGGAAAATAGTGGTAAACTTGTGAATATTTAGTTCAGCTTCGCTTAAGCTACACCTGTGCATAGTTTACACCACAATAGTCCGAGGTGTCCCAAGAACCGACACAGTGGGCTCTGCAGCTGGCTGGAGTACCTCCCAGGCAGTCGTCTGCTATCCTGGCCATGAGAAAAAGAGATTCAAATGGAGGAGAGTGTGTCGCTGGCAGTTTCTGGCAGTGAATGTGTTTCTGGGTGGAATGGGCAGACTTAAGATTTGCTGCTTCATGCATCTGAGGAGGTGGGGGAGTGTCTCCCATCTTGAATATAATGCCTTGGTTCTTATTTCTTCCTTTTGCTATGGAGAAAGTTTACAAACCATTTCCCAGAACACAGACTAAAACATTCATGTCCTTACTGTTTGTACTGGAAACCAAATGGTCAAATTGTGATGTTTAGCTTAATGATTTCTCCTTCCTTGCCTTTAGGTTTTGGGAAGAACTTTGGGGTGGTAAATTCTGCAAGCTTTCTAACTTGATTTATAGAAAAAGTGTACTTTTTCTGCTGTAAGAGACATTCAGGGATAATGACCTGATAACTGCTTGATTTATGTAGCTCTATTTTAATGAAGTTGCAACACTTTTTTGTGCAACAGGAAGTACCATGCTCAACATACCCCTGCTTTTCTCCTAGATTGAGTAAAGCCCAGTTCTGACCCTTCTAAAAATACGTCTGGCTGTCAGAAAACTTGTCTTGTTCTGTGGTGAAACAAGTCACTTCGGGGGAGGAAGGAAAATGAATTTTTGTTGAGTAAAGGCTGAAGTATTTTAAGACCTCAGCTTTTTTTTTAAAAAAAGTTGCAGGGTTTGGGGTCGTTTGTTTGGTTGGTGGTTTTTTTTAATGTAAACTCTAGTTAGTTATAACTAATTACTTACAGCCCTGCTGAAGTAGAATATATAAACTGTAGCCTACTGAATACAGCCCACTGTGTCCAGCTATGAAGCTATCCTATTTCTTCAACTAGTAGGTACTGACCTCTTTATCCTTAAAAATCATGTTTGCTTAGTGACATTTTTCATACTATTATGCAATTTTCTTGGTCTGCTTATATCACTAAACTCTATAGATTGCCCGTTATTCAACAATGTCACAGAAACAGTAATTCTCAGAGTGATAATCGGAATGGTGCATTTTTCCCTATCTCCCTTAACAACCCCAGGAAGCTCTGGCTTCCAGGTACAGACTGCTGGCTTCTAGCTCACCAGCAGGAAAATTTAAGGGAAACTAGAGCAAAAACTAATTAAGTGTCTTAAAATCATTGTCTCTCTCCAGTCTGCTCTTCAGCCAGAGTGTCACCACGTATACTATAAATTGTGAGGGTAAAACAGGTCCTTGGTTGACACCTTAGAATTATTGAGGCACATGTAACTACACTGTCTCGAGCGTGTCACACTTACCTAACTTACAAAGCAGTTTTAAAAAGCTCTTGCCTTCCTCTCGGTTTAGCTACCTATGGTGATGCCTACATCACTTTTTGAGGGGCTACTCTGCAAATAACATCAAGGAAGTGATCCAGATGCATGTAGTGGATCTTTCCATATTTCCTCTCTGACTAGAGCACAGCTTTACAGGTAGATGAGCTGGCAGCAACCTACGAGTCTATAAGAACAAGTGGTCAAGAGTAGGAGGAGGTCAGGAACTTGCTAGGCTGTCTCCTCCACTGAGGAAAAGGGACATGTCCAAACAGGACTATTTTCACCAGTAAGGGTGCCATCCAGTCAACAGATGGTGTTTCTGGGTTGTTTGTCTGGTGAGTACTTATAATATATGAAATGAAATTTGTCCTAATGTTGGGCCATCCATGTATTTTTCCTTCAAAATCAGCCTTTGCGTGAGTTTAAAAAAAGAATACCCTTAACTGAGAATACTTGCAGCTTGTTTTAATTCTCAAAACTGCACAGGGAGCTTACTGCAGCAGCTGTGTGAAGCATCCCTCAGTTGCTTCCTCCAGCCAAATAATCTTTGGTGACTGGCAGACAAGATCACTTGAGCCATTAGTACTGCTAACTAGTTGTAGTCAGTACTAACACAATTACAGACCATCTCACCATAAGCTTTGGTGAGAGAAGTAACTTGTCTGCTTCACCAAGTACGGTTTTAAGAAGAGCCAGTAGATACAAGCAAGCGGAAGCCCCACTTGCTGCCAGTGTACCAGTCTAGCAGTTGGTGGCCTGACACTTGCCCTGTTTGTCCTTCCCGGTTTCCCCAGAATCATGTCCTCCTAGGAACTGAGTGGGACGAGTAGTTTAGTCTATGCCATTGCTGTTAACTACTACAGCAGCTGTATATCTTTGTCTACAAGATGAAATTAAGAGATGCCAGATGAGTAGGTTTAGGCTGTTGCCTGCACCCGCACGTGATGCGGGACTTGAGGAGACCTGGACCTGGACTTCCAGTGAACTGTTACCTACAATAACTTTTTTTTTTTTTAACTTTTCTGTTGCAGGTGGTTAAAACCATAGGTTTGCGAGAAGTGTGGTACTTTGGTCTTCAGTATGTGGATAACAAAGGATTCCAGACTTGGCTGAAGCTTGATAAAAAGGTAACAGAATTCAGGCTAATTGCTGAACAAAGGTTAAAGCTTACATGATTCTTGATGTGTTGTTGGCTGCAACTTTATAAACCTCGTACCTGTTGTTATTGTTCCTTAATTCTCATAACACCAGGATTATTTTAAAAAAAAACTTTGAGACCTCCATGAGAACTATTTGGGTGAGGTGTGGTATGGTGGAAGTTTGCCCTTTTTCTCTGTGTGAATTGTAGAAAGCTTTATAGCATTTGTCAGATGTACAGAAGCAGCTTGATATTGTACTTTGTTGGGTGGAAGCAGCTATTCTTGCTGTGACTGGAGGAACATCTTGGCTAGTGATGGGTTTAGTCCCTGCTTGTGCAGGATCAGTTGTTGCACTGATCAGAAAGATAGGTCACTTCAAGGATGGGCAGTTGTAACAGAGTGCTGATGCCTCTGATGTGCTCTTGTTTGTGGTCTTGCAATTCTTATGCAGGTATGAACTGTTTTTCTTGATAGGACAGTCAGTGACATATCTGTTTAATGTCAGGGGGCTGTTCTCTGTCAAATACATACAATACTGGATGGAGGTTTGCCATCTGATGCAGCATGGTAAATCATTCTCCCCTGACCAAAGTTTGCTGTGCAAACAGAACTTTACTGGCTTAGTTGGAAAACATATGTCTCCCCTGTGTTCTCATACAGTAAGCAGCCAGAATTAAGGAATTACAGTAATGAGTTGTCAGTCACTCACCTCTTAAGGCAAATACTCCAAATCCTTTTTTCTGTGTAAAGGCAATTTACTCTGTTGTTCGCAGCCAGGCTCAATTGTGGTGTCATCTCTGTCCTCAGGTTTCTGCTCAAGAAATCAGAAAGGAGAATCCCCTCCAGTTCAAATTTCGTGCCAAGTTCTTCCCGGAGGATGTGGCTGAAGAGCTGATCCAGGACATCACGCAGAAGCTCTTCTTCCTGCAGGTGAAGGAAGGGATCCTCAGCGATGAGATCTACTGTCCTCCTGAAACGGCAGTACTTCTTGGCTCCTATGCTGTGCAGGCCAAATTTGGAGATTACAACAAAGACGTGCACAAGCCTGGATACCTCAATTCAGAACGTCTGATTCCCCAAAGGTGAAGGAGTTGGTTGATGCAGTCTCCTGTTTTTTGAGGTGTTTTTTTAAGGTCAAGAGTTTGGGTTCTAGTTAAATACAGAGTTTCACTGAAAACATGATTTTGATTTTTATTTTTAGCTGAACTGTGTGCATTTGGGTTTTTTTCCTTCTTTTATTTCTATCTGTCATATTAGAGTATGTTTTTGTGCTCTCTCCTTGGGTTAGTTAGGAATATGAAGTATACTTTTGAATTCAGCTTTTCTTTCCTAAACATTGCTGCCATGTTGGTAACTGGCAATATGACTGTCTCCTCTTTAAGAAGAAGAGAGCAGCATTCAGTCAAGAATGTGTCATCCCTGGAGAAGGTTGGGTTGTGTGTCCTTAATCCTAATGTACAGTCCTAAAAATCTTGTATCTGGACAGCATATCTTGAGGATACTTAGTCCATCCCCACACAGGATAAGTGTACGTTATCTGGAAAATGGCTTCAGTTTACACCTCCTGATGACGCTCTGCAGCAGTGTCTAATTCCAGGAATTGCACCTTTTGCTTTGCTTTAACCCTGTGGTGTCTACAGCATGTATGAGATTCTTCTCCAGTGTTCTGCTTACGCCTCTTATGTCTCTCATCAGTGACCAGAAAGGCTTTGCAGAGGGCTTTTGTTCATTCTGAATTGCTCTGCTTCACACAGTACATCTTTGGGCTGAGTAGGATCTTCCTCTTGGTTTCAGTAAGGCTTTATGTGTGGAACTACTTTTTTTAGTAAGACTATAGCAAAGATCAGCATCAATGGATACTGCAAAACATGGAAGTCTAATCTTGCTAATACCTCTTTCCTTGTGTAGGGTGATGGACCAGCATAAACTCTCCAGAGAGCAGTGGGAAGAACGGATCCAGGTGTGGCATGCTGAACACAGTGGCATGCTCAAGTAAGTGTTTTGTATTGGTCCTTAGGCTGGTCGCTTTGTTGCTGGTCGATTACCTTCAGTTTACAGTTCTACAACATGCTTTTGAAATAGACTCTGAGTCACCTGTGTGGGGGAACTCTTCGTGTGTATTTTCTAGTACAACATCAAATCACATGGCAAAACTCAGTAGGATATTTGCACTGGTGCCAAGAACAGTGTCTCAGATGACTTGAGTATCCTGGACCTCGGTACAGTGTATCAGTGATGACTTTGAGTGTGGAGGGGAGGAAAGTAAAGGTATATATCTAACCTTATGTTCATTGAAGCATTTGCGTTGGCAGGTGAGGAAAGTTCAGATACTACCTTTCCTACTAACTGTACCTTGAGACAAGGATGAATGCAGAGAGATTAATGTCGCCGATTTTCTGTCTGGAAATACTAGGGCGTGGTAATTGGGAGTACTGTGTGTGTGTGTGTGTTCATAGGTGTAGTATCATAACTTCTAAAGTGAGTCCCAAATGGCGAATGTTCAGTTTCAACTTCTGTGTTCAATGTGTGGGTTTAGGAAAAGTTACTTATTTCTTCTGAGGGCTTTGAGCTTTCTGAGAGTCAGATAAAAAAGAAACTAACATCGGCTCTCCGTCCTGTCTCAACCAGAGAGAATGCCATGCTGGAATACCTGAAGATTGCTCAAGACCTGGAGATGTATGGAATTAACTACTTTGAAATCAAGAATAAGAAAGGAACCGACCTTTGGCTGGGAGTTGATGCCTTGGGGCTCAACATCTATGAGAAGGATGATAAGTAAGGCTTTTGTTTTCACCTCTGATCTCCCAGAATGAGGGCTGGTGTGGGAGCCGATGGACACTTCTCATTTACAGGATCAGGGCAAAGTTTAGAACTTGCTCATGTTCCAATTTCGGATCAGTATGTGAAGCTGTGCTAGGAAATGAGCTTTCACATCATTTATGCTTTCATGACTTTCCTGACCATTGTAGCCTGACCTGCTAATGCTGCCTGCTGTATAAAAAGAGATGTCAGTTGTACAATGCCATCTGGTAAATCATGCACAGTTGTAGAGCTGAATCCTGAACAAAGGAGTTTACCACCCTTTTCCTTGAGTCTGGTTGCCAGGTGTGCCAACAGTGGATACAATACAGGAACCTAGATAGGCTAACATATCTGCAGAGTGCTGGTCATCTAAGGCCATTCCTATAGTGAAGTTAATGATAGATGTGTGTACAACTGCCGGGTTTTGAAAAAGACAGGTTATGGGACACAAAACCAAAGCTGGATAACACCCAGAACCCAGGGAGGAGTGAACCTATATAGTTGCCTTGAATGAGGAATGAAATGAGGTCTTGCTGAGGTATGCATAGTTTTAATCAGCCCTTCTGGTAAAGGCAGAGCCATTATTAATTGGATAGTAGGTGGGAAATGATAGACTACATCTATAAATAAACATAAAAGGAAGGTGAGAACAGCTGTGTCTAAGCCTGCTAGTCTCTTCTAATACTCCACAAGTGAAGGATTGAAGGGGAGTTAAAACAGATTTTTTTCTTTAAGATGAAGGTTGCTGTCTAGACTGCTTCCCCTCTCCCCCCGTTCCACTTTCCAAGCCTTAGTTTCATGTCATCTGTCACAGACTATCACTGTTACACAGAAGGGATTTCACCTGTTCTTCATCTTTGCCTCCAAAACACTTTGAATGCAACAGAAATATTAATTGGAACTCTCTGGAGCTTCTGTTAAGATGGCAAAGAGAAATGCAGTCTTTTCTGGAATGCTAGTACGTGCTGTCACCCAGAAAACAAGGAGTGTCACTTGAAAGAAAAGTAGTTTCGCTCATGTAATACTTCAGTCTTGAATGACTAGTCTTGCTATGTAACCATGGTCACACAAACAGGTTTTTCGAGCTGCAGACGCAGACAGAATATAGCCATTGACTGTAAAGAGCTATCAAGACCGTTTGCAAAACAAATACAGTGCTGGAATAAACTGCTTGTTTCTGCTGTAATTCCTGCTCCTCTGTAATTAAGTCTTTTGAGCAGATATGGGGACGAGAAAAGTAGCAATGTATACCTCGCCTCTGGTTTGTACGTGCAAAATTTGGGGACCTGGGCAAAGGTGAAAAAGCAAAGGTTTCATTGTTGAAGTTCAACCTGAGGGAAATGAGACTGTGCTATAGGTGTGCAAATCTCTATACTGCAGTGTATGTTGGTGTCCTGCTTCTAGGTATTTTCAAGCTTTTTTCTTCCTGCTTTGAAGAGCAGAATCTGCAGTAGAACTATAGTGAATTATTTTAGTTGTCTGTCATACTGTATTACGTAGGGTTGAAACACTTAAGCTAATATGACGGAGGCTGGAGTAATTAGTTAATCTTAATCTAATCAAATAATTTTCTTTACAGTTCTCACTTATTGTTACACACACACTGTTGCATAATCTTGCAGTTGAGTTAAAGGTTAGAGAATGCTAAGTTCTGAAGAGGATGTATTTTATTCTTGATGCTTGATTTTAAACGAAGCAAGTTTGGGGTTTTTCTTTATGCTTGGGCCCAGCAAAATCATGCTATGCAATAGGCACCATCTCTGTGCCAATGAGTCAAATTCCACCAAAATTTCCAGCTTGTTTCCTTAACCAATGAGCTCTATAAAAAGGATTCTTACAAAGTTCAAGTGGCTCACCGTGATGATAGACTATTCTCTAAGTGCTGAACACGAAATACTTGTGTCTTCAAACCATTTGCTAGAAATAATTGTCAACGCTTTAGTGTGTGTCAAAGACATATATTGGAGGGGTTAGATAATAACAAGAAGATAGCTTGTTGGTATTATCATATATGTAAGACACAATTCTTAATGATTAACTGCTGTCTCTAGAGAATATGCCCTTCCTTGATAAGAGAAGAATAAAAGACTAATAATGTGATATTAAACATTGAAATATTTGGTTGGGGGGAATGAAAGGAATTAGCTAGTCAAATGTGCAAGTCCTTGTAATAATAGAACTTGCTGCAAAGCTGGGCAGGAATGTAAGGGTGAAGTACTGGAATGGCTCAGAAACATATGATTTCAGGAATAACTTGATGCTTTTCATATGCAAGAGTCTGGAGAAATGAAAGCAAAGGAAAATCTCAACTGATTAGTGAAGCTTAAAGATGTAATTTTAAACAAACAAACAGACCTGAACTCCTAGGCAGTAAGGAAGAGCTGTGAATTTGAGTATTCACCTTTGCTTCATCAAGGTGCTTTCCAACAGGAGAGAGTCACGTAGTGCAGCTTGTTGCACAGCCAACATGTAAAGTTCTGCTTGGTGACTTGTGGGATGGGCTGGAAGAGCAGTTTGCATGGAAGGAAAGAACAGGGCTCTTTGTTGCCAGCCTTGCCTGTAATCTAGGGGAGTAGACAAAAGACAAGAAATCTGCTTCTACCAATTGTGTTTGTGCCTGCCCAGCACTCCAGAAGTGAAGGCAGCGTGTAGGTAACTGGGCTAGCTGTAACACAGCAGGGTGGACTTCTCTGTGGGTGCTAGAACATGTGGGGAGCAGCTGAGTTATTTTGGCTTGTGCCTCCCATGATGTAAGAGAAGCCTCCAGGAAGCACAGCACATAAACCTAAAGTCTGCACACTGTGGATTTTAGGCCCTCATTTCAAAGAAATTAACTTAAAGCAGGTGTATGGCTTCAGTAAAGACCATCCCTGTTACATAGCCAAAGGTCAGCAGGGTGGCTGACCAAAACGAGAAGAGACTCTGTAAGGGAGGTGACTGGGCTTCTTTTCCTGCTCCCTGTGGGTTTTTGGTTCAACTACTGTCTTTCTGTTGGGGGAGTTGTGTGAAGTGTTGCATCCCACTGAGTCTGTGTGTTAGAAGCAATGTGGGGGAAAAAACCCCAAAGTTTATTGCAGCATCTCTTAAAAATATTTCTCTTCTGTCCAGACTGACTCCAAAGATTGGGTTCCCCTGGAGCGAAATCAGAAACATCTCTTTCAATGACAAGAAGTTTGTTATAAAGCCTATTGACAAGAAGGCACCAGTAAGTATATCTAGAATGGATTCCTGGACACTGCATATGAACAACTAATACTGTTTCATCTCAAAATAAAGTAGTCTTTGGAGAGGAGAAAGCTGCAGATATTCTAGGTGCAAGATGAGCCTAGTATTTAGACTCTATTAGAGCTGTCTGGTTTTCTGGGCAGCAGAAATAAAGAGCCTATGGTGGTACCTAACATGGAGAAAAACAAGGATTTTACAACTGCAGAGTCCTTTTTTTTTTTTTTTTTTTCCCTAGCAAACTAGGTAGCCTTATGCTTAAATCTGAGAGTCTTTGCCAGTTCTGTGGGTCTTCTGTGTAGCCAGATTATACTGAGACTAGTCCTCTGCCCATTTCTTTCAGTGCATGGAAGCTGTTGGTTAATTTTTTGTTGTTGTTCATTAAAAAAAAAAAACCCCACACACAAACACACAAAAAACATTCAAATGCTACTGCAAAACCACATGGGTATATATGGCTTCTTGTCTTAATGTTCACTGGTCACTTCCACACTACTGAAAGAGTAAAAGCCAGTTAAGGACCATGGTGTTCATTGACCCTCTTGAATACTAAGGTAAATGGCAGGGGTATGATTTCTGTGGAGAACTGAAATAGAGCTACCCATGAATGTTGCTTTTCAATACTTAAAAGCATGTTTTCAGAGTTATTTTAGTGAAGAATTAGCAACTTACTTTGACCTGTTGAGAACATAAAGTGGAATAACTGGTATAGGTGGATCTCATTCTGTCAGTCTTGTGAAACTGTTGGAATAGTTGAGAAAGGCCTCTTCTTCTCTTCCCCCACCCCAGTACTTGGCCTTGGTGGGTAAGTACAGCCCTGTGAAATAATAAGCAGTTTGGCTCTGGCAAAGGGTGATGGCTTATAAATCTCTTTAACAAAAAAAGATCCTCCCAGTAATTTAAAGGATACTAGTGCAGTGTGCTGCTCCTCCAGATAACAAGCTGAGCTGGGGGGGAGAGGAGCTTCTCTCAGTGATGCTGTTAGTGAAAGCCACCAAAACTCCACAGAGGTAGAAGCTGGTCTGTCACGCATGCTTCTCTCAATAAAAGAGCCTCTTGGATGTGTTGTACACATTACAAAATATTAATCTCATGTTTATGGATCACAGCTTTCCATCCACTCCCCAACAGTAAATCTGACCGAGTTTGAAATAAGAGACTTGCAAGAGGTTGATACAGAAAGGTGTTAACATTGAAAACCTCAATTATGTTTCCTCCCTCTGTGTCAATTGTGCTTTTCCCTCTGGGTGGTGTTATGTTTGAAGCTATGTCTGGAAGAAGAATTTATCTGGACGCTAATTCTGAACATTCCAGAAGTTGTCTGGGTCTTTTCATATGCTTGTATCTCCTTTTAAAACAGCAAGTATTATAGCTACAGTAAAATACCTAGTCTACCCAAGATGTGGGTTGGAAGCTCCCCTTTAATTTGGAGGATTCTAGATGACAGTGTTTGGTTGGACACTAATGTAATGGGTAGAGTCCTGTGGCACCTTGCCCAGAATAAGCTTTTTAATTTTTCGTAGAACCATAGAATGGTTTAGGTTGGAAGGGACCTCAAAGATCATCTAGTTCCAACCCCCCTGCCATGGGCAGGGACACCTCCCACTAGACCAGGTTGCTCAAAGCCCCATCCAACCTGGCCTTGAACACTTCCAGGGATGGGGCCTCTACAGCTTCCCTGGGCAACCTGTTCCAGTGCCTCACCACCATCACAGTAAAGAATTTCTTCCTAATATCTAACCTAAATTTACCCTCTTCTGTTTAAAAACATCACCCCTCGTCCTATTGCTACACTCCCTGATAAAGAGTCCCTCCCCATCTTTCCTGTAGGCCCCCTTTTGGTACTGGAAGGCTGCTATAAGGTCTCTGCAGAGCCTTCTCTTCTCCAGGCTGAACAACCCCAACTCTCTGTCTGTCTTCACAGGAGAGGTGCTCCAGCCCTCTGATCATCTCTGTGGCTCTCCTCTGGACTCTCTCCAACAGGTTCATGTCCTTCTTATGTTGGGGGCCCCAGAGCTGGATGCGGTACTCCAGGTGGGGTCTTTATGACAGCAGAGTAGAGGGGCAGAATCACCTCCCTCGACCTGCTGGCCACACTGCTTTTGTTGCAGCTCAGGGTACAGCTGGCTTTCTGCGCTGCGAGTGCACATTGCCAGGTTATGTTCAGCTTCTCATCAATCAACACCCATAAGTCCTTCTCCTCAGGGCTGCTCTCAATCCATTCTCCACCAAGCCTGTATTTGTGCATGGGGTCACCCTGGCCCACATGCAGGACCTTGCACTTGGCCTTGTTGAACTTCGTGACGTTCACACAGGCCCACCGCCCCAGCCTGTCCAGGTCCCTCTGGATGGTATCTCTTCCCTCCAGCATGTCGACCACGCCACAAAGCTTGGTGTCGTCAGCAAACTTGCTGATGGTGTACTCCATCCCACTGTCCATGTCAGCAACAAAGATGTTAAACAGTGCCGGTCCCAATACCAACCCCTGAGGAACAGCACTCGTCACTGCTCACCTCTTGGACATTGAGCCATTGACCACAACTCCTTGAGCACAACCATCGCCAGTTCCTTATCCGTCTGTCAAATCCATGTCTCTCCAGTTTAGAGACAAGAATATTGTGTAGGCCAGTGTAAAATTCTTTGCACAAGTCCAGGTAGATGATGTCAGTTGCTCTTCCTTTATCCACCAACACTGTAACTACATCACAGAAGGCCACCAAATTTGTCAGACATGACTTGCCCTTGGTGAAGCCATGCTGGCTGTCACTGGTCACCTCCTTATTTTCTGTGGGCCTTAGCAGAGTTTCCAGGAGGATCTGCTCCATGATCTTGCCAGGCACAGAGGGGAGACTGACTGGCCTGTAGTTCCCTAGGTCTTCCTTTTTTCCCTTTTTAAAAATGGGGTTATGTTTCCCCTTTTCCAGTTGGTGGCAACTTTACCAGACTGCTACGGCTTCTCAAATATAGCAGATAGTGGCTTAGCAACTTCATCCGCCAGTTCCCTCAGGACCTGCGGATGTATCTCATCAGGTTCCATGGACTTGTGCGCCTTCAGGTTCTTTAGATGGTCTCAAATATGCTAATCTCCTACAAGGGGCAGTACCTCGTTCTCCCAGTCTCTGCCTTTGCCTTCTGTGACTTGGATAGTGTGGCTAGAGCCCTTGATGGTGAAGAATGAGGCAAAAAAGTCATTGAGTACCTTGGCCTTCTCAGTATCTCAAGTGACCAGGTCTCCCATTTCCTTCCAGAGAGCACCCATATTTCCCTAGTCTTCCTTTTATCACTAACATACCTGTAGAGGCTTTTCTAGTTGCCCCTGACATCCCTGAACAGATTTAACTTAACTAGGCTTTAGCTTTCCAAACCTGTTCCCTGGCTGCTCAGACAATTTCTCTGTATTCATCCCAGGCTACCTGTCCTTGCTTCCACCCTCTGTAGGCTTCCTTTTTGTGTTTGAGTTTGTCCAGGAGCTCCTTGTTCATCCACACAGGCCTCCTGGGGATTTTGCCTGACTTCCTCTTTGTTGGGATACATCACCCGTGAGCTCGGAGGAGGTGATCCTTGGATATTAACCAGCTTTCTTGGGCCCCTCTTCCCTCCAGGGCTTTATCCTATGGTACTCTACCAAGCAGACCCCTGAAGAGGCCAAAATCTACTCTCCTGAAGTCCAGGGTAGTGAGCTTGCTGTGTGCCCTTCTCACTGCCCTAGGGATCTTGAACTCCACCATTTCATGGTCACTGCAGCCAAGGCTGCCCTTATGCTTCATTTTCCCCACCAGCCCCTCCTTGTTGGTGAGAACAAGGTCCAGCATAGCACCTCTCCTCATTAGGTCCTCTGTCACTTGGAGAAGGAAACTATCATTGACGCATTCCAGGAACCATCTGTATTGCTTATGCCCTGCTGTGTTGTCCCTCCAACAGATATTGGGGTGGTCAAAGTCCCCCATGAGGACCAGGGCTTGTGAACGTGAGGCTGCTCCTATCTGTCTATAGAGGGCCTCATCCACTCAGTCTTCCTGGTCAGGTGGCCTGTAGCAGAACCCCTTGTAATGTCACCTGTCCCTTCCCTCCCTTTAATCCTGACCCATAAGCTCTTGATTGGCTCCTCATCCATCTCTGTGCACTTCAGCTGCCATGCAAGAGTGCAGAGCCTCTGTGCCCCTTCTCAGTTCCACCTCTTGCGAACAGTGAGGCAATCCATAGCAGAGTGATTCTGAGGAACTGGTTTATGGTGGTAGCATGGCAGCTTGCCCACTGCCTGTATCACTGCCCGCATAGTACACACAAAAAAAAAAAGCACAAAGATGCAGAGTATTTTCACTATGTAAGTTCAGACATGGGTGGTTGTGGACTTAGAAAAATCATCAGGCAGGTCATGAACTTGGTCCTCTGTATCCCTTTCTTAGATTTACTTCCAGAAGATCCAGCCTGGTGTGTAGTTTCTGTAGCAGCCTGCTTATAACACAGATAATAAGAAATTTGGGGCTGTTCTTTTTGCAGAACTGGAAATTTTAGAATATCTTGTGTTTTGTTACTGCCTGCAACCCAGTATTGAAAATAACACGTATGTTTGGTGGTTTAAAAAAAAAAAAAAAGCTTTCACTTGACACTCTTGTAACAGCCTAGGTCAGCTTAACTAGGAAAGGAAATGTCATGGAGAGG